TGAGTATTCTGTATATTTTCTATTTGTTCTTCGTTCTATTGGTTAAACTACATAGACTTGTGTCTTTGGGAGATGTGTGGGCTTTAAATATAGCAAGTATGATGCTCGGTATGCCTTGCTTCATTGCCCCATACCGGGCCTCTTGGCTCACCAGCAGAAGTTGGCTTCCTATTTGTTTTTATCGGCCACTAGAATAATTGCTCAGGCCTGGAAGAGTCCGTTTGTCCCTCTTCAGGGGGTGCGGGATCGTATGACCACTATGATGCTCAACGAACAGATGTCGAGTATCCGCAACGACTCCCAACGTAAATTTTTGAAAATATGGGAGCCATGGTTGCAATATACCTTTCCCACACTCCCCCCGGCTAGTCTGGGGATGTAATGGCGTTCGGTATTGGCGCTCTTGGACCCCTGCTCTTTGCCCCCCCCTTTTTTTTTTTTTTCCTCTTTCTTCCTTTCTCTCTCTCTCTGTTTTTGGTGTGACTGGACAGCTGCCTTTAGTTGTTATAGTCAGTTACATTAATGTTTTGTAACTTATGTGCCATTGATAGTCCCTGCATGGGCGTACCTTTTGCCCTGTTGGTGTTGGAGCACTGTTTTTCCTTTTTTTTTTTTTTTTTTTTTTTATCTGTGCAATTCATAGCCCCTGCGTGGGCGTGTTTTATTGCCTCTGTTTTATACTGTTTAAAAAATTAATAAAAACCATTGAAATACAAATATAGCAAGTATGACATACAGTTATTCATGAAATTAAGAGAGCTATTTTCACGTGCCTCTTCCACACAGGAAATTAATGTGACTGATTAGGGCCCAGGGATCTGTTGAACCAATGGAAACTAAACATTTAAAGTTATATTAGGAAACCATGAAAATACTTGCTGTCTTGCCAACTATCATTATTATCAAAGTGAGTGAGACTCCACTTGTCAGTGTTAATAATTAAAATAGGTATAAACCTATTGTTGTATCACAGTTACAGGATAGTTTACATTTTTGGGGTTTTTCCAAAATGTGCAAAGAGCAATCACACAAACACTTGATGGTATAACATTTAATTAAGTAATGACAGATACAGATAAAGTTAACAAATGTAATAATATTGGAAAAATGTAACAAGAATACTTAGCTATAGATGCCTTTTTGCTAAGGGTCCCCTGTCTTTATGGCTTGGCACAGATGATGAAACCAGGCACGTCAATTTAGCCCTGAGATGGAACAACTATTACATGTTTTAGTTGTAGTATATACAGGCCTAGTGGGTAGCATTTGACCAGTTACAAACTCTGAATAGCAGTATTACCTTTTAAGAAGATATCCCATGGCCTCAGCCATCTTGGTCAGCTCATAATGACATTCCTATAGTGTGAAGACATCTAAGGTAATCAGGCTTAGAATTCATTCTTGGATATTGTGAGCCAGTAACAATAACAAAATATGAATTTTTTCCTCATCGCCTATGTAAAATGTTTCCCACAAGATGGTGAATCTCTTGGGAAGGTGCCTGCCCTATCCTGAATTTGTAGTCCCTGTTATCACCACAGATTTGTTGGCAAACATTTATAGTTTTGCACTGAGTGTTAGAACAGTAAATCTATAATTTACAAATAGATTTGTTCTCTTTGCAAAGAAAGTTGCACTTTGCAAGGGAATTTTCCTCAGAGCTCAGCAAATGTGGTGAAATTTAATTTTGCAAAGAATACCCAATCACATGCAAAGAAAATAAAAAACAAACCCCTCATTATGCTTTCACAATGTCACTCTTACCCCTAACGCAAGTGGTCAGACACTATAGCTGGCTTCTTTGTTCTTCACTTACAGCCCCCTTTCCCATAAGACAAGCAGGCCTACTGGTACTTGGTTGCTGCCAGGGTGTATACACAATGCTATAATGCCTGGCTACCACGATGGGGCAGGCATGAACTGAGCACAGCAAAAAGGTATTGCGCTTGGCAGACAGACAGAATGGTTCAATGACGGCAGGTGAGGTGCAGAATAGTCTGGGTCAATCTGTAGTCAAAAGGCAGGCAGAGTTCTGAGAATAATTTGAATTCCGATCTGAAGTCATACACAGGGAAATCCAAGCAGCAGGGCAGACAAACAGGGAATGTGTAGCATGTGTTAAACACAATATTACAAGCATGAGCCTGCAGTCTTTGCTGACTTAAATTAGGTTTGGTCTCCACCCAGAGACTGGCCATATCAATCACCTTGCAGGAGAACAGATAGGGAGAATATTTCACAGCAAAAACCAGGATGCTGAAATGAGAGCAGCAGCTGTGATGGAGCAGGAGCGCTAGACAATATCAAAATTAGGGGAGCACACCACATGGATCAACCGTATCTACTGGTAAGCTTACAGAGGCTTCAGTTACAGACCCCCACATGTTGACCACGTCCCTCGGACATGTTTCTCCCTGATTGGGCTAGTCATAGAGAGCTTCACCTCTTTCACTAAGTTCTTGGAATAATTCTCTTGCAAAGGGAAGAGTCTATTTGTCTTTAGTAAATCAACCCCATTGTCTTTTTCAAGGACAAGAAGTTGTATTCTCACACAGACTTCACATGTAAAAGAAATCTGTCTATGAAGGGTGCCCCGATTAGGCAAGGTTCCTAAAAAACTGTTACAGGAATAAGGCCTCAAATCCAGCAGTTCAAGTAGCAATGTGTAGTTCTACCAAAGTGGACCATTAGCTGGAAAAAGATTGAAGATGGTAATACTGTCCAGTTTTCACCTAAGGGAAGGCAATTCTCTTCCATATAATACACAAGTGGCAAGCTGGGCTAAACGAACACTGCTAAAGTTAGCATATAAACAGCAGGAAACTGCAAACAACCTCTGAAAGATAGACCTTAGCCTGGCTTAAAAAAATAGCTCAGATGGTATCCCAATCTCAGTAACTGCCTGGAGAGCTGACCTCACAGAGGGAAATATGGAACCATCTTGCAATGGGAGGCATGGGCCAAGTGGGCTTACCTTCAAACTTGACTAAAGTAGCAGTTGTCAACAGAACCTGAAAAGTTCCCTCCCATTGAGGCTGTAGAGACTTGGCAAGATGCTGTTTGATCATCCCTATACAGGATGGCAGGGATGGATCTTGGACGGGAGATATTTATCCCCAAAATTTGGGTTATGGTTCCTTTAAGGGGGGGGGGGCAATTTGAATGATGTTGTGGAGTATTCAGGGACTTATAAAAGGGTGACCTAAAGTTTGCCCAAGATTTGTAAGCCCTTATGTAGCATCCGTAATTTGGAGGCTTGGAGAGACTTTGTGTAGAAAACAACCTCCAACCCTGATTATAATGATTGGGTTAACCCACCTACAGAGAAGGCCTGAAAAGAAACAGGGAGACAGCACCTGTCTGTGAGGTGGAGTGGACCAGTCTACAGCTATGTGAGAAAGTGTGGACTGAGACATTGTTTGCCAAGCTCCTGCGGCTGTCCCCGTACCCTGAAGCAGATGGGAAACTTAAACCCTGGTGTGGGACTAGTATACTGTCTGTGAGCAATTGTATTATTTTGAAGTAATCAGAATTATGGGCTGTTTGTGTTTACATTTGCTGAACAAAGTTGTTTTGTTTGCCTGGTTATGAAGTGCTCCTTCATAACCAGGCAAACAAAACAACTTGGACATGAACCAAAACTTGCTTAGTTTTCGAAGTGGCTGATTGGTGATCCTGAGCCCTCCATATTACCCCCCCCCCCCCACCCCCCCCCCCAATTTATAGTGCTGAGGCAATGTTGAGCATCCTTAGTTGAGGATCTGGCAATGAAGAAAACACTTGGGAACATGGGTCATTTAGTGGACTATACAAACAAGTTCATTCAAAGCTTCATAGGATGAGCATCATGAAAAAACAAATATCAAATTTTGGTTCATGTCCACGCAGTTATTCAAAAAAGGTGAAATGCTAAGCACTAAACTCCTTTTGCATCTGTTCAATACTGAGGAGTTAAACCACTGACATTCTCCTAAGTCTTTCACAGTGATTTAGCTGTTACCCTTCTTACTGTATAAAATGTCTATGCATCCCTGCTACTTCTATACACCAACAGATACATACCCAGAAATTACACTTTAGTTACTATGTGTACAAATTGGCCCTAACGACCATCTTAGTGTCTCATCATTAGATATTCTTAACCACCCGCTCAGTCTGTAGACAAATGACAACCTGGCGGGAGCGCTGGCATCCTTGGTGGACATCATATGATGGCATGCCTTGCATGCCCCACAGGCCGTGCTGTGACGCGATCTGTCGCCCGCTGTGTCCAAACACAGCAGATCATGTAGCAATTGTACACAATGAATGGATTCCATTCATTGTAAACTGTTGCGTTGATCTCTGTGATTGGTCACGTGGTACAGATAGGGCCAATTACAGCTCATCTGTAGCATATGCTTAGCTGTGACTAATCATAATAGTACACAATGAATTAATGAATTTCGTTCATAAAAAGGTTGCTTTTAACAGTGATTATTACTGCTATAAACAATCTGTGTGTGTGTGTATGTGTGTGTGAAACAAAAATTGGAAAAACATTTTTTTACAACACATTGTCACCAGTCAGTGTCCTTGATTGCCGCCACCCCAGTTATATGATGACGCTGTATTGCACTGGTGACCAGTATGTAAAAAAAAAGAAAAAATATTAAATTTCTTAATTTTTCCAAAAAATTGTGACAAAAAAATTACACTTTAAAAAACTCTCCATGCCTCTTACTAAATATCTTGGACTGTCTACCTTCCAAAAAAGGGTCATTCAGGGGATATTTGTACTGTACTGGCATTTTCAGTCCTCAAGAAATGAGACAGGGTGTCCGTACATTGATCAATTTTTCCAAAATACTGTATTTTTCGCTCCATAAGGCGCACCTGACCATAAGACGCACCTAGGTTTTAGAGGAGAAAAACAAGAAAAAATATTCTGAACCAATGGACTGCATACATAGTACAAGAGGTGACCGGAGACTGCGGACATACTACAGGAGATGACCAGAGACTGCGGAACATACTACAGGACAGAGATGACCAGAGACTGCAGACATAGTACAGGAGATGACCAGAGACTGCGGACATAATACAGGAGATGACCAGAGACTGCAGACATAGTACAGGAGATGACCAGAGACTGTGGATATACTACAGGAGTTGACCAGAGACTGCGGACATACTACAGGAGATGACCAGAGACTGCTGACATAGTACAGGAGATGACCATAGACTGTGGATATACTACAGGAGTTGACCAGAGACTGCGGACATACTACAGGAGATGACCAGAGACTGCGGACATAGTACAGGAGATGACCAAACACTGCGGACCTTTGGGGAGCGGGTACCCAAATTTGACAGGTACCCACTCCCACTTATAACAGAAATGATGGGAGTTAATATTACAAAGAATGCCAAGACAGCTTTCTCTAATGACATACTGGATGAAAAAACCCAAATCTGTACGTACTCTCATTTTTTCATATTCTTTTGGCTACAAAAATGACTATAGCTTGAGTGTGGAAATCCCTGATGATGGATAATGCTCCATGAGAAACTGGGGAGCAACTTAAAATACAAATGGGCCAAATTTGATAAGGTGTGGAATCCATGTCTTAAGTATTTGCAGTCGCTTGTATAGAGGGGTGGTCCTGAGGGAGCTAGACGGGCCTGGGTCGACTGAAGCCAGCTTAGTCTCTACTGTTCTTGCTCCCCCCCCACCATTGTGTCCTTTCCTCTCTTTCTTATGGGGTTCCCTCCTTTTTTCCCCTCCCCTTTTTCTCTTTTTCAAGTTTCTTTCCCATATCATCCAAGGTATATAACCAGAAGGTTATATGGAGCCTTTTTTGTGCTCATCTTTAATGAGTTTGTGGGCCATTGTGACCAGAGCTGGTCCTATATTCTCTTTTATGGTTAGGTGGGACTTTTGTGCCCCCTCTGTGGAGACAGATGCTTTTAATCTTTTTTTCATTATATTACTGTAATGATTGGAACTCCTCTGCACCCGGGATATCATTTGGTGGCCATGCTGACTTCTGTATTTTTGGTTTCCTCCCCTTTCCCTTATCATCCCTGAACTAGGCATTGCCCCTGTGCACATACATGACCATCCACAATGTTGCTTTTAATGGATTCAAGCCTTTATTTGTTATTGTTTCTTTAAAATGCTGTTTTTGTTATTGGCAGCTAGTGCCCTCTTGCCACGTTCATTGTTGACATAGGATATTTCTATACCATTCTGTTATTTCTTCTGGTTGTATGTTTAAAATTTTATAACAGAAAAAAGAAAATAATGTTTTTTTTTTTCATTCATTTAGAAAATTAAAAACCCAGTGGTGATTAAATACCGCCAAAAGAAAGCTCTCATTGTGTAAAAATAAAAATTTAGTTTGCGTGCAGTGTTGCATGACCGCACAATTGTCATTCAAAGTGTGACAACACCGAAAGCTGAAAATTGGCCTGGGCAGGGAGGAGGGGTTAAAAGTGTCCAGTATTGAAGTGGTTAAAGTGTATTTGCACTTTTGCAGCCAACTTGGCACAACACCTCCTTTATATTTGTTAAGATGTTTATTCTAGATCCTCCAGCAAGAAAAAATCCTAGGTAGTTTTCTTTGTTTATGAGGGGGCTGGTCAGCTGTGTTTGCCATAATTAACCCCCGTCTGTACTGTGCAGGCAGATCTTCATCAATTGTAACTAAATTTGAACTATGTCCTTGAAAAGGGCTAAAGTTGTAGAGGATTGGCTTCTTGCATTGTTTAATGAGGACATATTTGGGACAGACAGTTCAAAAAAACCTTCACGGCTGCTAACAACTGTATAAAACTTTTTTCATCCCAAAACCCTCCGCCTGAGAAACCATTTAAAAGTAAGAAATGTTCCAAAAGTATCTGACTGGGTACCCATATTGCGGAATCCGGAGTTGGTGCATTGGTACTGTCCACTATGTTTCAGCCTTCTTGGTGTCCCCTGTGGGTTCCTTGCATGATCCAGGCTTGGGGTGGTTTGGATGTATCATGCTTTGTACTGGAAAAGGTTTCCCTGCTGGAAGAGTTCTGCTCACATTTGATTTTGAATTTTCCAACCTTAATTCCAGTGCTAAACACCCATCAATCCTTGGTAGAGTCTGTTTCTAAAAAGACTTATCCAGCAATCTCTCTAGATTAGCAGCATTTGGCACAAAACACCAGGAGAGCCTAGTATGCTTTCTTTTTCCAATCAGGTTTGCAATCTACAGTCATCTTTTAAGAATCTGGTTACTTTAATATTTTATCACTGAAATGTCAATGCACACAAAGGCATTCTTCAAAAATTATTGGACACGTTGGAACATGTTTTGTGGTCATAGCATTTGTAGTGCTAACTTTTTAAATCTTTTTTTATCATGAAAGTGATGGTTATTTTACTTGTTTTGTTGTAATTTAGATTAAATCTAACCAAACAGCAAGCATGAGAGGGTTTCAAACTTTTATTGTTGTAAGTGTAAATGGAAAGTCCAGGCAATAATTGTTTGCATCTTATCAGCTTTAAGTTTTTAAGAATTTATCAAAGGTCCTGATTTTATACCGCTAGTTTGAAATTTTCTGCTCTGTTTGAAATGTTGTGCATCTAACACTATATAGAGTGACACAAGTATGTTCACTGTTGTGCTTTTTAGGACTTGGAGGGTGTAGATATTAAACTTGGAGTTTGCTCTGGAGGACTCATGGTCTTCAAGGACAACCTGAGGATCAACCGCTTCCCCTGGCCCAAAGTGTTAAAAATCTCATACAAAAGAAGTAGCTTTTTCATTAAGATACGTCCAGGAGAGGTATGTATGATGTATTTTGTCATACTTTTATTGTTTGGTCATCTATCTTGTTCTTTCATCTTTAATCAAATTTTCAAAGCTAATTCAAGGAAAGTGATTTGGTAAGATACTTGCTTTAAACAGACTGGGGTAAAATTTCATATCTTTACACAAGTCTTTTTTTCAGCCGGAATGTGATGAAACTGTGGACCCTGGCCATTTCTGCACTAAATATTCTATTGGTTCCATTGATAGTATTCCCTTCTTTAGGGATTTAATTCATGAGCATCTGGAGACTCTCTTGATGTTTTCCTTTGCCTTGGAAGGCCCAAACAGGTTATTGCCACCTTGTCGATTGCCCAAGAGAAATTGATGGAGAATTTTTTCCAACTATAGATGATCCTAATCTTGCTACAAGATTAAATGTATCTTGCCCTCGCCAATGCTCTTCTATGTAGGCTCCATAGAGAACATTATCCATCTGATCTCCAAAATGTCCTTACTTTCTGTGCATATGCTCAGAATCTCGTGGCTTAAAGCCTGGTTGGCAGAATGCCCTCATGAAAGGTGCCTTTTGTGCATGCCCTTCTTAGGTAAGCTCCTCTTTGGAAATTCCCTTGAGGAATACATTGAGGTGGTTACTGAGGAAAAGAGGGCTTTCTACGCCAGTATCCACAACCATGCTTCTTTATTCAGTGGCCTTCTCGACTAACGGATACAATCTGTTCGCCTTCTCATGGAGTTATCATCTACTGCAGGTCCTTCACCTTGTGGCAGACTCCTTACCATTAAGCACACCAGACCTACTTATAAACCTTCTTTACATTAAAATTCACCCACACCTTGACAAAGAGGGGGTGGAGGGAGGGACGTCTATTAACAATTGCTCCACATTAGATAAAGATGTTCCTGCCTTTTGTTTCACTCTTGCAGTCTTTACTCTTAGTTGCTGTTTCACAAGTGCTGGTTCATATATATGCAGATTGGATGCAGTTTGAATGGAATCCAATCCATTTGACCTGGGTAGTGACATTGCTTCCTATGATGCCTATTCACATATGTCCATTGCACTGGCTGTGCGGATTGAAAAAGTCATGTCCAGTTTCTAAGCAGTGCGGTCTAGTCCAGGTACGGATTAAAGGCTATTGACTTTTATGGGAACCTTGCCTAAACCGCACATTTCATCAGTTGTGAATAGGATAAAATTCTGACCTGAACCTGATTTAAACCTGTCCTGGACTGATGTAAACCTTACCTGAACCGCTGAACAACTACTGTATTAATTAGCTGTAAAACCTGAGCTTCAGTCCGCACTGCACGTGTGTGAACTGGCACTTAGACTATTTTTTTTCTACACCTCCTTGCAACCTAAAATCACAAGGGGTACCCAGACCAGGCTTCTGCCTGGTCTTCTGTAGACCTAACACTCTTTCGCTGTTATGGAAGATCTCCTAACTTTAATAGCAACTACAATGTGATGGGTTTTACTCCCTATCTATCCACACTTCAATATGGTGATTACATTGTGGAACTCACTACACCTTTTGGAGCTAAAAATTATACTTTTTATATGTATAATCAAACCCTGGACCTTCAGGTCTTTGAGTTCCATGGAGATCTTTTTTTTTTTCTTAAAACGCTCCTGAGTCAAATCTCTGACCATAGGCCCAAACGCTGATCCTATCCCTTCCCTCTGTAGTTAACACCGCACCTATCTCAGGTTCCTTCCCCCGATCTTGTACTACTCGGAATATCTGGGTTTAATCCTCATATCATTAAAATGACATACTCTTCACATCAACATTTTGTATATCACTGATCCCATGAACATGCTGCCACTGGCATCTTTCACTTGCATCTCCATGAGAATTACCCTCTTTTAGTAAAACTAGTGTCTGACTCCTTCACTTAGGTCACCAGAACTTTACCCCTCAGTATGCAGAGAGGTTTGCTCCATTACACGGACCCCCTTTTTGGCACAGACCTCCTTCGTCTACAACCCTCAGACTCTGCCCTGAGGTTTGATATGCCTTCCCTCCCTGTATTAGGGTCAAGGATCACCAGGCTATATGTTTAAAGAGCTGAGAAGTCCATTTGCTCTTGCCTTCTCAAAAGGACTTGGACTTGGCACTGATCAACTTCTTTCACTGGCCTAGTACAAGAAAAAGTCTCAGGCCCTTGTCTTCAGTAGCCCCTTTATGTGCTTATTTTCCCTCAACATACTGTCTGTAGGTGCCTCAGCAGTTGCTTGCCCATCATACCACACATCTTTAATTTTATGACTACAAACTGTCGCCCATAGATCTTCTCACTTCCTTTTGCAACAAGAAGGGTGACTTTTTAAGCCTCTGAGCTGTTTGAGCCTTTGCTGATCCCTGCTTTGGCTACCAGGTGGTGTTGTTGTCTGTCTGTTCAGGTCCATTGACCCTTCTTGTTCTTCCTGAGGGCTTGTTGCTGCAATTTTGGCTATTGTGTTGCCCATCCCTTGGTTTAATGCTTGGGAATGTCCCATGGTATAAGAATCAACTGAAGAGGGGGGAAGGGGCTTTTGCCAGTGTCTGAACACAAGAAGGTAGCAGCATATAAACCAAAGTCTAATCAACTCCTGTACTGTACTTCAAATTCACCACAACCATGCAATACCACTTACTATATAAAACTAACTAAGCACAACAATTGGGGACTTATTTTCACATGCTGCATAAATCAATCAATTGCTTTGCCACTATCCTGATCTTACAGTGGCTGCGTCTCACAATCAGTACTTTGAGTTTCTGCTCTGCTCTAGGACGTTTTTTCCAAAGCTGTAAAATCTCCCTGTGTGATAAGTTCCTCTGATTGTTTTCATAATGTTGGTATGGCAGTTAAGAAATTGTCCCATAATTGCAAGTAATGACAAACATTGGAAGCATTATTGTAAATATCAAGCTGTCTGAGGTCACCTTTGTTATCTTAATTGACCTTGTAGATGGTAGGAGCAGTACAGTGGCTGATACTTTTACCATTCAGAACTCTAGATTAGCCATAGGCCTGAGAAGGTGGTTGGCTAGATGTGCAAGTTTTTTCACTGTTACACCTAGACAATAGTGATCATCCGTGAAAACTACATTTGGATTTGGTCATTTAGCAAGAAGTTGTGTTGGGAGATTATAGTGCGCCTGTATACATAGTTTTTTTCGTAATATGACTGATCTCGACTTCTGTTCCCGTCAGGGCTGTATTACTTATTTATATTTGTGGCATGTAACCAGCAAGTGATGCCACATTAAATGCTATGGATCTCTTTATAGGCATGAGCTGACAGTCCACACTAGTTTCTTAATAACGCAGATGATACAGCTTTGATGTGGAAAAGTAGGTCATAATCTATTTTCCTCTGTTCACATCCTATCATCTCAGCTTACATATACTGACTGACGGTGTCTTCATAACGAATAACAATCTCTGTTTGAACATCGGTTTCCCCTCTGTTTGCCTCTGACTAGATAGAACTGAGAAATGACAAACTGCAAAATGAGTATGCCTTTCTTTATTATGTGCAGAGGGCAAAGATCTGTCATATTCAAAACACTTTGAGACTGGTTACATGTAGCAAGGTGATTCTTCTGTCTTGTATGCTTTTTATTCATCAGGGGCATAAAATAATATAGCACAAAAAAAAGTAAAAAAAAACACCTGTGAATTCAAACCCTTCAAAATGGATCATGTGTGAACAAGCTGGTGGAACCAAAAAAGTTGTCTCATTTCTATTTACAGTGTTTGTATGTTTCGTATACTAATGAGATCTTTTTCTATCAATAGCAAGAGCAGTATGAGAGCACCATAGGATTTAAGCTGCCCAGTTACAGAGCTGCAAAAAAACTTTGGAAGGTCTGTGTGGAGCACCACACATTTTTCAGGTTAGTTCAGACTAGTGGGAAAACTATTTAAAAAATATTTCTTGGTCTGCAAGTATTGCACCTATTTTTTCCTTTTCAGGTTGACATCTGCAGAGTCCATTCCAAAACACAGATTCCTCTCATTGGGATCCAAATTCCGATACAGTGGGCGCACACAGGCCCAGACTAGACATGCCAGTGCACTCATAGATAGACCTGCCCCACAGTTTGAACGCACTGCCAGTAAGCGAGCCTCACGCAGCCTGGATGGAGGTAAGCGTATTATGATTTACCTTTTATTAACCCAGAATCTTCTTACTGTTTAAGATTGTTAACTTGATCGATCCTTGACTTTAATGGACTGTGTCTGGCTAACTTTCTTATGTGAAGTATTAACTTATTACACCATTAAATATCCTCAGGTTAGTTTAGTAAATGTAGAACACTTGAATGTATAAGTATTAAAATTGAACTGAATTGGAATCCCATCAGGAGATTTGGTACATTCATTTTCAGTTTTGGCTCTGTTATGTCTTGGTGCATTTCCCCTCACTTCTTGTCAGGAAAGGAGATGCAAACATTTTTTTCAGCAAGATAGGGAAGTGTTAGTACTGCTGTTAGGTTATTATTAATATTTTATTTATTTCAGGTACTTGTATAGCGCTGTCAATTTACGCAGCGCTTTACACACACACACACACACACACACACACACACACTGTACATTCACATCAGTCCCTAACCCTCAAGGGGCGTACAATCTAAGGTCCCTAACTTACATTCATACATACACATACTAGGGCCAATTTAGACAGGTTCCAATTAACCTACGAGCATGTCTTTGGAGTGTGGGAGGAAAACCCACACAGGCACAGGGAGAACATGCAAACTCCAGGCAGGTGGTGCCGTGGCTGGGATTCGAACCAACGACCCTAGTACTGCCAGGAGGAAGTGCTAACCATTTAGCCACTGTGCTGCCCATCTTTGACTTCCTACCCTGGTGCTATCTGTTACCTCCATTTCTTGTTCAGCTGTCAGATGAAATCTCCCTAATGAGATCAGAACTTGACAGAAGTATTTACTTTTTTAAAATTTTTACAAACCAAAATGAAAAGTTTTGACTAAAGTTGGGCTTTAATCTATGTCTAATAGTTGACCTTGACCGTAGTACTTAAAATGACTCTAATCTCTGGTTAAAGAAAAAATTATTTTCAAGTATGTATGCTTAACTCAAAAAGTACATTCTATTATTCTCAGCCTCCTCTAAATCTTTAAATTGCTTTGATTTTGCTGCTGGGATCTGACTTCCTCTCAGAGGATGGCCATATTCATTCTTCATGGCCGATAAAAGCACAGCCACCCACTTTTGCTTGCTCCTGAGAAGGACTAAGAACTGTGGAATATGGGATGTGTAGTGTGCATAGAGCAATGCACATGACTGCGACTAAAGCACACCTCTTGTTGCAAACAAATAGAAGTGAATGGGAAAAGGAATGGTTTGGGAGCTCACAAACAACAAGGAGACAGAAACACAACACAAAATTTTAGGAAAATAGATTATATGGCTATTGAGTAGTGGATATGTATGGATTTTTTGCAGAAAATCGGGATGTTGGTTAGTGTCACTTTCACCTAAAGTGAAAGGAAAGGCTTAAGTTCCGTTACCTCCCCACAATCAGTTTAACAATAGAAGTCTATTTTTATGTGTACATTTTTTTTTTCATTATGATGCATTGCTGTTACACTGTTCTTTTTCTCAGAGCACTCTCATGAATGTGGATGATTGTGTGTCCTCATTCATGAAAAAACATATGACATAAAATGGGCAGCGTTGTGCTGTGTTACTTGCACAGATACCAACAATGGTACCAGGAAGTGCCTGTGAGCAGCCACATTTGGCTGCACAAGAACACCGTATTCGGTGGAGCACAGGAGAATTGTTGGCTGTCTGGATTAGACAGTTGTTTCTAATCAGACATGCATCAATTACAATAATGCATAATATAAAAAGTTTTTCATATTATACATAGATATAAAGGGTAGTTTTTCATTGTTAATTGAAATGCCACTTAAGTTAAACCTATACCTTTAAATTTGGGCTTAATAGGTAGTCTATCCCTTTAGTTTAACTCCCTAAATGTGTTCCTAACACATAACATGGCCCCCTAAAACTTAAAGTGGTTCTAAAGGCTCAAGGTTTATCACCTTAATGCAGTCTATGCAATAGGATAAAAAACTTTCTGGGTGCAGTTTCCTCCCAGGCCCCCCCTTATACTTACCTGAGTCCGTTTTGATCTAGTGATGTGAATGAGAGCTTTGGTTCTCTGGGGTCTCTCTCTCCACAGTGGGTCACACAGCAGGAGCCATTGGCTCCTGATACTGTCAATCACACCTAGTGAGTCAAAGGGGAGAGAGCGAGGGTGGGGGCCAAGCCACGCTTTGTGTGTGACTGGACAGTGTCCAATCACAGGAGCGCTGCTTGGCAGCAAGTCTGCTCAAGTGCCCCCAAAGGAAGAGCCTTACTATTGGGGGTACTCGGCAGAGGGAGGAAACCAGGACTGGCAGTGGGGGACCCAGAAACAAGAGGATAGGGGCTGCTCTGTGCAAAACCAATGCACAGAGAAGGTAAGTATAACATGTTTGTTATTTAAAAAAAACAAACTTCCTTCAGAGTCACTTTAACCGCTTCCCGACCGCCCTATAGCAGAAATACTGCTACAGGAAGACACAGGTGTGCAGAATCACGCATATATACATGATTTTGCATTTCCGGGTAGGGGGGCTTGCGTGAGACCTACCTGCGCCGTCATTTGTCGCCGTTGCTGGCAATCACCAGGTCCCTGCCGGTAATTACTCGCCGATGCCCAGTGATTGCAGAGGATCTCCCGACGGGAAGGAGAACTGTTTGTAAACAAAACAGTTCTCCCTGTCAGCTTGTCCACGCTGCTTTGCATGGCTGTGCACAGGACAGCATACAAAGCAGTGTGCTTACAGTGAAGCACAAACACACAGCATAGTAAAGCACACACAGTTAACCCTTTGATCGCCCCTCATGTTATCCCCTTCCTGCCCAGGGCCATTAGTACAGTGTCAGTGTTTTGGGTTTTTTTTTAGCACTGATCACTGTATTGGTGTCACTGGGGATGTCAGTGACACCAAGTCAGTTCCCCCCAGTGTCAGAGTAACCGCCGCAGTCCCGCTATAAGTCGCTGATCAGCACCATTACTAGTGAAATAAAAAAATTCCAGTATATATACCGCCATTTGTAAATGCTATAACTTTCACTTAAACCAATTAATTTACACATATTGGGATTTTTTTTAGCAAAGACATACAGCAGAATACGTTTTGGCCTAAATTTATGACTAGATTAGATTTTTTTTTAAAAATTTTACTGGACATGTTTAATAGCAAAAAGTCAAAAATATTGTTTTTTCTCAAAATTGTCAGTCCTTTTTTTTTTTTTTTTAATGCAAAAAATAAAAAAAGCACAGGCAAACAAATATCACCAAAAGAAAGCTAAATTCATGGGAAAAAAAAAAAGGCCGTAAATTTAATTTGGGTGCAGCATTGCATGACTGCGCAATTGTCAGTTAAAGTAACGCAGCTCTGTAACGCAAAAATTGGCCTGGTCAGGAAGGGAGGTAAATCCTCAGGAGGGCAAGTGGTTAACTTATCTGTTAACATTCAAGACTAAATGCACCTTTTACATAAACTGGTCTATGCAGACAAGGGGCCCCAGTATTGTAAAACACACTGTGCCATTTGTACAGGATATTACCTAATGCAATTACTGTACTCGTGGGCCTTTTTCTGTTGCTCATGAAGCCTGCCTAAAATACTCCCAATGTCTACATTCTGATGTTCAGACTTATTTTGTGGACATAGGCTACAACAAAATGCTCACCTATGCTGCTTATTTGAGGACAGTTAAAGAGATGATCAGATTAATTGGGAAGTTCAGTGGCTATTTTCTTGTAGCACATGTCCTGGGAATAAGTGAGGAAATAGGAATGTAAACATTGAGTGTACTTTGGAATGGCTTCATGGGTGATGGAAAAGGCATTTGCATTAAACAGTATTTTAGCAAACAGCGCATTGTATTTATACATTTAATTTGGTGGGGTTTTCCCACACAACATTGCTGTTTGGGTGATGATGTTCCAAATGCCTTCCATCTGACACACTTCCGCCTGACATTTTCACCACAAACGTAAGACACATGTCTGTTCTTATTACTTGCTTCTTCAGAGATACAGGACACCAGTCAGTGCCGAGGTTCCTTTCCCAGGCACGCCAATAGCCTCTTTTTCCACATCCATGTAGTAAGTACCCGGTAGAGGATTCCTTTGCTCCGCAATGGAGGAGACATCACACCGGAGCTGAGAAAAAAGAAAGTTAAATAGCACCCGTGCTGCAGATGGCACTGAGGAAAACAAGCATTATGCTCAGGGTTACACCTATTCCCCTGCGCCAGAGCAAGGTCTTTATTCTAATGTAGCACACCCTTGGGTGATGCTTGGCTAGATATATAGGTTCAGCTCCCACCTGAATCTGGTGACACCTCCAATTATACCCAGAACACTTCGACACTCTGAGAATATTTTTTATGGGTTTTATTGAAGAAGACAAACCCTGCAAAAGAACTAGCTGATTTAACACAGGTAATGTACATAAACATAGATACTACTTTGCATAACACAGTTAGTAAGAAGTCACAATTCACTCACCAAATTCTCCAAAAACTGACTAGTATCACACTGACTAGGGTGACATTTGAGAGTGACATTGACACATGAAACAATAACTGTTAATGAGATTTAGCAGCTTATTGACATTTGCTATAGCAATACTATCTAGAGCAGAAATGTCCTACCTAACCACTGGCCAGTGGGATGAAACTTAAAGTCTCTCAACGTTGAGGCCCTTTAATCAATGGAAGAGTGCCCACTCTCTGCATGGAAGAGTATTTGTAATCCAGGGGTAGCAGGATAGCACAGTCTCCTTTAAGCAGAATCGTCCAGTGAACATTGCAATAGAAGAAAAACAACA